GAAGGACAGATCACACAGATCGTTCTGTACTGAACATCCGCTGCGACGTTCGTTCGTTACGAGGCCATCCTAGATCCTCGTAGTCCCTTGGCCTTGTGGGCAGCCCCTGTGGAGTCTGTCTCGCTGTCTGGGGACCCGGCAATGACGGATCTAGGTTTTTAAAATTTCTTATGTAATTTGATAAACCCTAGCAAAAAAAAATTTTACATTAAAATTTTCTACCTGTCTCTGTGACTAACGGACCCCAGAGTATGCGGTGGTTCACCTGCATACCTGTGGATCCGTCCCTGCCGGCAATGTAGCCCTACTAGTTGATAACCGCACACACATGGCAGTAGGACGAGGGAACTAACCGTGACAGTTTTGTGCCCGCTACGGCGCAACACACACTGCTCCATTTTGTACAAACATATACTCCGTATACGGCAATCTGAATTCTGGAGCACTTATGTGTGCTAGTGTTTTACTAGTAGTATCTCTGAATGGAACAATAGTGTTAGGTCCAGTTTAGTTTGCAAAAAAATTTGCAAAATTTTGTCATATGCGAGCTGTGTCTTTGTCAAGTGAAAGGCATGTCGAAATGCACGATGGGAGTTTGCAGATCTACAGTTAAATATAAATAAAAATAAAACTAATTTCGCAGTTTAGACAAAATCGTGTACAGTGTACTGCCGTACATCACGATTTTGGGCAGATATCTTCGAATGTACGAAATTAAATTATGTTGGCGAGTGGCAGCTAAGAAATTGTTTCCACGACGAACGCACTGGTCCACAGGCCTGCTCTGAAGGGTGAGATCGGTCTCATTAGGCCCGGAAAACTTTTTACATCTAGGCCCAGAAAGATTTAGACTTTGTCTATTTGATTCGTTTTCTATGGAAACCAAACTGGGACCTCAAGAACCGTGACCACAGGGGCTCGATCTCTGCTACTTTTTTTTTTGGTCTGATAGGTCAAGTGCGACCTGGCAAAGCGGGGATGTTGTTCTGCAGCGAAGATGCGCTAATTCGTACCAAGTGACGCCGTAGACGTTGCGGCTTCACCAGCAAAAGCCGAGACAGCGTCCAAAACCTGAGGTGACAACACGGGCACGCAGACCCCAGGCGACACCTACGGCCTGACAGCCAGGAATCTCTCGAGTGCGGGTGGCGTACTATCGGGCGCGACGCGCGCATGCGTAGAGGCAGCTCGGCCCAACGGCAAGCAGCGTTGCAATGGCTCGGCGTGACGCGAACTAACCGTGACATTGTGCGCTACAGGACGCGGATCATGCCACTGCGTTCCGGTCGCCGAATTGGCAAACAATTTGGAGCACTTATGTGTGCTAGTGTTTTACTAGTAGTATCTCTGAATGGAGCAATAGTGTTAGACTTTGTCTTTTTCGTTTTCTATGGAAACCAAACTGGGACCTCAAGAACCGTGACCACAGGAGCTACTGCTACTCGGTCTGATAGGTCAAGTGCGACCTGGCAAAGCCGCAATTTGCTCTGCACCAAACGCCGCAAGCCGTTTTTTTGCCGGCGGCCGCGTCATATTGAGGTGACAACACGGGCATAGACCGCGACACCTACGGCCTGACAGCCAGGAATCTCTCGAGTGCGGGTGGCGGGGCGCGACGCGCGAGCGGAGCAGCTCGGCCCAACAAAGCAGCGGCAACTCGGCGTGACGCGACCACATTGTGCGCTACAGGACGCGGCATCATGCCACTGCGTTCCGGTCGCCGAAATGGAAACACTTTTTTGGTGTACTAGGCCCGTCGCAGCCGCACTCCGCAGGCCTGTACGACCCAACAGTAACCCATACCATAGACGACCCTTTGCGATTTCAATTTCATCTCTCTCCATCTCTAATCCTCAGGTGAGGTAACTAAACTTGTTGCCGCTGTCGGGATAATGTACTCTAGGGCTCACCGAAATGCCATGAGAAACGTATCTGATCGACCTTAATTCTGTTGAGCGACAGTAGCTGTTAACATTTCTTGAAGCAATCGCCATATTCGTTTAGTTTATATGTCATAATTTTTCAACTAATAAATAATATTTTTTTCTCACAACAAATTATTCAACGGTACTTTCAGCCATATCTTACCGTTGCAAAGCCTATACTACACTTGCATCACGTCTCGATAGGATGCATCATGACCGGTTCCACGTCCCTATATGGTGTAGGCCTAATGATCGTGCCCGGGGTTCATGTGGGCGTGAACTTATGATGGAAAGAGCAATGCCCTTAGGGCTTAGGTGTATGACGGACAGGGCCTAAGCTGTACTCCCGCCGTTCTCCACAGAGAAAGCTATTATAGGATTTATTTAAAGCACAAATAAAAGGTCGAAAATTTGGCTTGAATATCCCTTAAACAGTGCTGAACAATGCAAATACAGTATCCAACAACGCTAAATGGTTTTCTTTGCAGGATAAATTGTGAATGTTATAATGTCTTTCTTTATGAGGCGCCCGGAGTAGACTCCTTTTTGTACGACCTTGTTATACTGGTGGAGCTAAAACTGTTTTTGAAATTGTTTGATAAAATAACTTCTCATAGCATATCTAGCGAAGGGAGCTAAGAGAAACTACCATTTTTAGCTACATTCAACGTCCACCCCTTCTGAGGCTGAGTTTTAAAAAGCTCAGTTTGAGGAGTGTGTTTCATTTTAAACCGTTTGTTAAAACAAAATAGCTCCTAAAGCCGTTGGAGAAGTTGTGCGAAACAAGGCTTAAGTCTCACCTTCTACTCAAGCTGCCCTTAGGCAATTTTTACGTAGTCATAACGTCTGTATGCATTTCTTCCTTCTGTCCTTGTAACGCGTGTACTTCAAGTTGATCGAAATCACCAAAACCAGCTCACCACCATGAAACATGCATTATGACTAGTTCCACGTTCCCACATGTCCTATTGTCCAAGACCTAATAATCGTGCTCGCAAATTCATCATCTAAACCGGATTCAGGTGGACGTGAACACATGATGGAAAGAGCAATGCCCTTAGGCAGGAGTATGAATGAACAGGCTAAGGCCTGTTCGGTTAGTATTAAAGCCGGCTGATAAGCTGACTAAAACTGATTTGTTATGAGAAAAAATATTATAGATTTTAGCCGATAAATCGGTTGATAAGTTCAAAAGAACCGACCCTATCGAATTTGGCGAAGGGGCCTGGAGGAGGCAATGGCGTCGGCATGCCCAAGAAAGGTAACCAGTCAAGAGGGGGCGCTCATTCCCCGGCGCCGCACAATCTGCTAAAGCGGACGGGGAAAAGCAATCAAAGAGACCAAAGCGATCGACGATCGACGTCCGCCCTGTGCCCGGGCCCTTCTTCTGCCTGAATGCTTGCTGGCTGCTGCCGCCGTGGTTGCTTTGATCCAATGCAACGTCCAAAAGCAAAAGCAACAGCACACAGGCCACAGGGGACACAGGGAGTGAGAGTGGGTGTTTGTTTTCGCCTCCTAAACTTTAGTCGCTGTCCCATCGGATGATATTAAAGTATTAAATATAGAATATTTACGAGACTAAATGCACAGATTGAGACTGTTTTGTGAGACGAATTTTTTAAGCCTAATTAGTCCATGATTTGACAATGTGATGCTACATTAACACGTGCTAATGCCGGATTAATTATGCTTAATAAATTCGTCTCACGGATTACTGACGTATTCTGTAATTTGTTTTTTATTAGTATCCAAACACTCCATACAACATTTTCATATAATTTATTTTTGATACCTTCTAAATTTTAGTCCGTGCATCAAACATCCCCTGACATTATTGATGCCAGGGGCCAGGCGGCTGCTGCAGACGTTATTCCAAGCTCGCATTGAACTGCTCCAAAGGGATCCCAAAGCACCAGCCTTTCTCGCGGTCCGATGCGTTCAAAGATCTGCGAAAACAAAAGAATGAGGAGGGAGTGGGAAAGGAAAGACGGGGCGGCATCATGCCTTGCCAGCAGCTGAGCTGAGTGAGTCGGCTCGAGCACTTGGCTTGTGGGGGAAAAAATGCAAAGGAGTTGCTCGGTTCAAATCGGCGCCTTCGGCTGCTCCCATCATAAAAGGACCACACACTTCCCTCAGTGCCCAAGAGAGCGACAGACACCCAAACGGCCGAACCATTGCTTAGAGGGAGAGCAGAGGAGTGACCATTTCTTCGAGGGAGAGCGTTGTGGTAGTAGTAGCTTGAGAGAACTAGCTGAGAGAACCAAGGACATGGCTTCCTTGCCTGATCCCACGGTGTACTACACCACGTCCTCTAACGCCATCCTGCGCGCGCAGCCTTCCACCGCCGCGGCGTCCAAGGGCTCGTTCGGCCCGGCCTTCGCCGTGCTCGCGGCGATCTCCTTCCTCGCCGTGGCCGCCTGCGTCGTCGGCAGGCTGTGCGGCCGCCGGCTCTCTAGGAAGAGGTCCGCCGACCAGGACTTCTACGCCTCCGACGCCGTTGGGGGCGACCTGGAGAAAGGCTTCGAGATCAAGTACCCGACGATGAAGCCCATGGCGAGCTCTCGCGCCATGATCCACGACATCGACGACGGCTTCGAGATCAAGTTCACGCCGGGGAAGCCTGCGGCATGGAAGAACGACAGCAAGGCCGACAACAAGGGGCGTCAGCATCAGGGCCAGGGCCAGCATCAGCATCAGCATCCGCATCCCCAGCTCGTCGGCATTCCCAAAGGCTACGCCGTGCCGAAGGAGTACGCGGGCTTCAGATACCCTGCTGAAGCTGTGGTCAGGCAGGGGCAAATAAGGGGCGGGGCATTCATTCCAGCAAAGCCTGGCACATGAACATATAGCAGCTTAGGTTCACAACTCGATTGATGTATCACATATGATACGTACAATCTCTCATCATCCCTCGGGCGAACGATAGCGTTTTCATCTTCACTCTAGTTTTGGGGCGCATTGTGCAAAAGTTCCCTCGGCGAACTAATTCCAGGCACTTCCATATCGTATTTTGTACATTAACCCATTATAAGCAGTGAAGAATATCTCATTCTCCAGTGACATAGCTTGAAAGCATCAATCGTCGACAGGGTCCTGAGGAGCTTCAGTAGCATTCCGTTTTATGGTGATGACGGGGCATTCAGCATGCTTAACGCAGAACTCGCTCACCGTGCCCACGAAAACCCTACATGTAGCAACAAAAGACCAATCAGATTCGGTGCAAGTAAATTTCCTGTAGATTTTTCTTACTGGAGTCAACCGTAAATATAGTAGTAGCATCCAGATGAATATGATGCTCTGATGAATAGACTATGGCAACAAACTTTGCTAGTGAAATTCTCATTTACCAAATCAGAAAAGCACTTTATAGCATACAAAACACACACTTGAATTTAGTTCATGTTCTTGAAGACAAAAGTCCCCAAATCTGGTATAACCCAACTGCACAAAATTATACCTACTCTGCATATGTTCCCATCATCTAGTTCATAGTGACTGAACAATACCATGTGACACCACCACCAACAAGGTAAATAAAACATTGACTGATGAAAGAATTGCAGAGAAGTCATACATCACTAAACGAAATTAGATCCCAAATGCACCTTCAAACGGGATATGAAAAAATCTTCAAGACTCACCAGAAATTTAGCAAAGTAGATGAAGGTGTCAATGAGGATTACACAACTAGTTCTAGACAGACTGACATGACATATCAGGAGATATAGTCAGCCCTACATGCATATAGGCCACTAAATTGAAAGATCTTTCTGTTTGTACATTATCCGAAAGTATACCAAAGGAGTGTTTATTGTTAGGATTAGTACATATGGCTTTCACAGTAGGCAAGCTACATTGCTTATTGATTTGTACGGCACATTCTTAACTAGGGTGCACGAATATCAAAAGGCATTGGCATAATCATATGAGGGCACTACAACATGCATGCACACAAATAATAATAACACAGAACAGCATCCTGCATTCACGAAAGTTGAGAAACACGTTGTCGTGAGATGATTTGAGCACCAACATAACCAAAGAGAAAAGGATGACAGGATCATAACAAAGGCAATAATTACACTTCACTAGAAGCCGCATGGCAAAGTAGACAAAAGAAAGTGTCCTGTTTTTCCTTTTCATATATGGTACCTTTTCTATTTCAAAATATTGTGATGAAAAAAAGTTGTTTGTATGATTGGTGACTGTTTTGGTTTTAAACTACTTAGGTTCCATTATTAAGGAAAATAAATATACCTTTTTTACAACAAGATAATCCCTGTTACAGAGGATGATGTGCAACACAGGGCAATGGGACAACTCAAAAGAGTCCAATGGTATTAGATAAAGCGTTACTGGAGCAAGAAAGATTTCTAGGTCATTATCAGACCTTATTAGTTTATTCAGAAATCACATTCAGTACCTTACAAGGCTAAAGTGTATATATCATTCTATAATTTCTAAGATGTTACAGAAACATCATACCACCAATTGACAATTCATCTTGCTTTTCTGTAGTTCACAAATGATGATGATTGCTGCTAGTAACCACCATACCTGTTCACATGATGGGCCAACTGGCCAAGCCAAGCCCAAGCTTTATTGGGACTGACCAGACTAAGCTTGAGGCCAGGCATAGATCCCACAAAAGCCCAAATATCGATATGTATTAATTTTAGATAAGAACTCATATTATTTTCCATAGAATATTTCCACAACCTATTGGTAAGTGCCAAAACATTTTATTTACTGTTTGTCGGAATATATTTGTAAAAACTAAATTATGCTGGGCCTCAACTACAATTAAATCAAGTGACCAAGCAACAACAAGCACATTTAACCATAGATCCTTCGATAATCAAAGAGCAAGGGAAATGTACGAGAGATGGAGCACAGTGAGCAGGGAGCAGCATAATGTGGGAGGTTGAATTACCGCATCGTGCATTTTTCTATATATGCCATTCTGAATAAAATGCTGTGCAATATGGCTGAAACACCGAGTCATGCTCACATATATTACCTCTGAAATGGCCCAAGGCCCCTACTTCCCACAACTAGAAGGTCAGGCTGGACTCTCTTCACTTCGCTGCAGATAACCTCCTTTGGATCCCCATGCCTGATCCATGCCTCGCATTTTATCTGCAACAAAAATTAGACATGAAGACCATTATACACCAAAGAGGCAACCGCTGCCAGATGGAGCCTTCACAACAGATGAAAATCAGTAAACTTTCTGAGCAATAACCAAGTTCTATTACCCCTAATTGATGGCATTGGTTTACAAAGTACTCAAGCAAATGAAGCCCTCTTATCTTGTCTCTCTGCTTCATTTGGTGGAAGTCCTCCGGCGAAGCATAGATGCTATCCATGTCATCAAATCCTTTTGATTGGCATCAAAAAATAAAAAAGGTCTTGTATTAAAACACAAAATAGTGATGCATTAAAGTTTCGGGCAAGTATCCAATATTCATCCATTATACAGAAAGATAAACTGGGAAAATATTTGAAAACCACTAAGCACTAATGCGTGTTCCAGAAATCTTGTTTCAGTTCATACACTGGACACTGGGAAAACACAAAAGGTTACCGAAGTTCAATGGATAAATAATTAACTAATTTCTGAACTACTGCAACAGAAGATCCTGAACCCAATGTCATATCTAAGGAAGTTAGTAGTAATATAGTAGATGAATTGTGTTTTCAGTACAACATCAGTCTCAAACTAGCTGAGTTTGTAACGAGTCTTTTACTGATCAGGAGTTCAGAACCAACAACAACAACAACAACAACAAAGCCTTTAAGTCCCAAACAAGTTGGGGTAGGCTAGAGTTGAAACCCATCAGAAGCAATCAAGGTTCAGGCACGTGAATAGCTATCTTCCAAGCACTCCTATCTAAAGCTAAATCTTTAGGTATATTCCATCCTTTCAAGTCTCCTTTTATTGCCTCTACCCAAGTCAACTTCGGTCTTCCTCTGCCTCTCTTCACGTTACTATCCTGGCTTAGGATTCCACTACGCACCGATGCCTCTGGGGGTCTCCGTTGCACATGTCCAAACCATCTCAACCGGTGTTGGACAAGCTTTTCTTCAATTGGCGCTACCCCTAATCTATCACGTATATCATCGTTCCGAACTCGATCCCTTCTTGTATGACCGCAAATCCAACGCAACATACGCATTTCCACGACACTTAGCTGTTGAACATGTCATCTTTTCGTAGGCCAACATTCTGCACCATACAACATAGCAGGTCTAATCGCCGTCCTATAAAACTTGCCTTTTAGCTTTTGTGGTACCCTTTTGTCACATAGGACACCAGACGCTTGCCGCCACTTCATCCACCCTGCTTTGATTCTATGGCTAACATCTTCATCAATGTCCCCGTCCTTCTGTAGTATTGATCCTAAATATCGAAAGGTATCCTTCCTAGGCACTACTTGACCTTCCAAACTAACATCTTCCTCCTCCCGAGTAGTAGTGCCGAAGTCACATCTCATATACTCAGTTTTAGTTCTGCTGAGTCTAAAACCTTTGGACTCCAAAGTCTCCCGCCATAACTCCAGTTTCTGATTCACTCCTGTCCGACTTTCATCAACTAGCACTACATCGTCCGCGAAAAGCATACACCAAGGGATGTCCCCTTGTATGTCCCTTGTGACCTCATCCATCACTAAAGCAAACAAATAAGGGCTCAAAGCTGACTCTTGATGTAGTCCTATCCTAATCGGGAAGTCATCCGTGTCTCTATCGCTTGTTTGAACTCTAGTCACAACATTGTTGTACATGTCCTTAATGAGCCCGACGTACTTCGTTGGGACTTTATGTTTGTCTAAAGCCCACCACATAACATTCCTTGGTATTTTATCATAAGCCTTCTCCAAGTCAATAAAAACCATGTGTAGGTCCTTCTTCTTCTCCCTATACCGCTCCATAACTTGTCTTATTAAGAAAATGGCTTCCATGGTTGACCTTCAGGGCATGAAACCAAATTGGTTCACAGAGACCCGCGTTATTGCTCTCAAGCGATGCTCGATAACTCTCTCCCATAGCTTCATAGTATGGCTCATCAACTTAATTCCCCGATAATTAGTACAACTTTGAATATCCCCTTTATTCTTGTAGATCGGTACCAATATACTTCTCCTCCACTTATCAGCCATCTTGTTCGATCGAAAAATATGGTTGAACAGCTTGGTTAGCCATACTATAGCTATGTCCCCGAGGTATCTCCACACCTCGATTGGGATACCATCTGATCCCATCGCTTTACCTCCTTTCATCATTTTCAACGCCTCTCTGACCTCAGATTCTTGGATTCTCCGCACAAAGCGCCTATTGGTGTCATCAAAAGAGTCATCCAACTGAAAGGTTGTGTCCATATTCTCACCATTGAACAATTTATCAAAATACTCTTGCCATCGATGTCGGATCTCATCCTCCTTCACCAAGAGATGCTCCCTTTCATCCTTAATGCACTTAACTTGGTTGAAGTCCCGTGTCTTTCTCTCACGAACCCTAGCCATCCTATAAATATCCTTCTCTCCTTCCTTCGTACTCAAATGTTGGTAAAGATCCTCGTACGCTCTACCCTTTGCCACACTTACAGCTCGCTTTGCAGTCTTTTTTGCCACCTTGTACTTCTCTATGTTGTCCACACTCCTATTATGGTACAAGCGTCTATAGCATTCTTTCTTCTCCTTAATAGCCCTTTGGACTTCCTCGTTCCACCACCAAGTATCTTTAGCCTCGCCTCCACTTCCTTTGGTTACTCCACACACCTCTGAGGCCACCTTCCGAATGTTGGTTGCCATCTTCTCCCACATGTTGTTTATGTCGTCTTCTTCTTTCCAAGAGCCCTCTTTGATAACCCTTTCCCCGAATACCTCGGCGTCTCCCCTTCGGGTTTCCACCACTTTGTTCTTTGAATCTTAGCTTGTTTATCCCTCACGGCACGCACTTTTGAAAGCGAAAATCTACCACCAAAAGCTTATGTTGAGAAACAACACACCCCTCGGTATCACCTTGCAATCCAAGCATGCCCGTTTGTCCTTTCTTCTTGCGAGGATAAAGTCAATCAGCACTGATGTTGTCCGCCATCTTGAAGGTCACTAGATGAGATTCTCTCTTTCTAAAGAAAGTGTTGGCTATCATCAGGTCAAAAGCTACCGCAAAGTCCAGAACTTCCTCCCCCTCCTGATTCCTACTACCATACCCAAGACCTCCATGAACTACCTCGAAACCTGCGTTTGTAGTACCTACATGCCCATTAAAATCTCCTCCTATAAAAAGCTTCTCACTACTAGGTATAGCTCTAACTGTGCCATCTAAGTCTTCCTTAACTGTCTCTTAGCACTCTCGTCGAGGCCTACTTGGGGGCATACGCACTAATTACGTTCAAGACCATATCACCAACGACAAGCTTGACTAAGATAATCCTATCTCCTTGCCTTCTCACTCCAACCACACCATTCTTGAGGCTCTTATCAATCGAACTCCTACTCCATTTCTATTCATGATCGTCCTCGTGTACCAAAGCTTGAAAACCTGTATTGTCCACCTCCTTCGCCTTCTGACCCTTCCATTTAGTCTCTTGAACGCATAATATATTTACACGCCTCCTAGTCACGGTATCAACTAATTCTCTTAACTTACCTGTAAGTGACCCTACATTCCAACTACCTAAACGGATCCTAGTTGGTTCGACTAGCTTCCTTACCCTTCGCACCCGTCGACTCAGATGCGAAGACCCTTACTCATTTTTCACTACACCCGGGCGCCGATGTAGCGCGCCACTAAGGAAGCGACGACCCGATCCTTGCTCACTTGACACCATGCCCAGATCACGACACGGCGCGTCACGGGGGTGACGACCGGCCCTTGCCCATTTAACACCATACTCGGGTTCCGATATGGCGCGTCGCTAAGAGGGTTACGCCCCAACGATTTTCTTTCGGGTTTCATCTCCATTAAAGTGGCTAAGTTTTTACATTGGCTCGTCACGCCTAACACAACCCTACTCCTTTACCAGGGCTTGGGACCTGCTATGCTGGGACACCAAAGGCGCCCCACCATAGGCGGAGTTATCAGGAGTTCAGAACCAAACATATAAAACACATGAGACCTAACCTTAGCCTAAAAAAAATCCCCAACCCATGTACCATAATATTTGTCTGTTGTATCAGCTATACAATGCTATAACATAAAACCTGTGTAAGAGCAAAAGAAGCATTCAGTCCATATACATAATCACTGGTTTTCTTCATCTTGCAGTCTAGCGCAGATGGTAGAGCAACAGCAAAAGAAAAGATACGAGAACAAACAAAACAAAGAAATTAAGGCACCGAGAGAGTGTCATATAAACATCCATGATGCAGAAATTCTCTGTCCAGTTTCTCGTACAGCTAAAGTGCATCGTGATCCCCCTAAAAAAAATCCTAACAGACAGGTTCTTGACACAGAGAGCTATTGATCTCAAAATGGGATGACAAGATAGAACAAGGAAATAGGGTACAAGAGCTAAATGCTGCTGCCACAGTAACAATTCTCAAAAGGCCAGAAAGAATAAAAGAGTTGCTAACAAAATTCTTGATAGCAGAAACAGAGCAAAGTGATATGGTATACAATGTCTCAAAATAAATAGGTGTAAGTTGTTAGGTTATCCAAACCCAAGCTGGACAATATCATGTGATTTGATGACAAAGGGATGGTCTGAAGGAGGTAAACAGAAATCAGAATGGAAACCGTTGTAAGGGCATTATTAATGCAGTTGGAGATGAAAACAACAAGATGCACACAAGCACAAGCAGTAGCACGATACTACCTATCCGATCACAAACAAACAATACCATGTTCTTGTATGAAAGAGTCATATTTGCAATATCATTAAGCATTTTCCTACATGAATGGTTGTAATACAAAATATTGATTCAAAGTAGCATAAACTTCCACATATTAAAAGCACTCTTTGTCAAAATGCCATCCTTACCCCCAAAACAAATACTAGTACAAGGAGTCCGCATTTTGTCAAAGTAGAAAATTATAAGATATTAAGATTGCTTACATTGAAAATAACTGAGGGGCATTTTGTTTCCATTATATTTCAACCAACCAGCTAGTCCTGCATATATCATTTCGAGTAGAGAGAAACTCTACAGGCATACAAGTATACAACTTCTGATACACCAGCATCCCATCTTAACCATAAGAGCCAAGCCATTTAGGATCAAGTAAATCATCAGAACCAATTTGCTGATTTTTATTATCTCTAACTTGCTGAAAAATCAAATGATGAAATTAGACACCAAAGACGAGATATTCAATGCAGCAGCCAACAATTCTGATCGAGGTATGCCAAATCCAGCATTCCAGATGCCAGGCCACCTAACAGTAACCAATGCAACATAGTCCCAATAGACTAGAACCTAACTCAAGCGATCATAACATTGGCTAGTCCTGAAACAGAACAAGTTACACAAAAAAGTTCCTAGCTGTAGAGCACGCAGAAAATTTTGGATGCTGTGAGCGAATACAATGACTCAACACATCAGAAAACGAAATCAAAACTGTCATACACAGGTGATGGCTTTCTGTAAAAAGATTTTGATGCGGCATTTACAGAAATAATCCTTCCTATTACAGAATGTCTCGTCGTCGCCCTTTCCATTGTGGAAAATTTTAGCCATACGGCTTGGCGATTGGATATCGTTTCTGCAATTTCGTCAATCTTAAGATTATTTTTGTAATAGCTGGAGCAAATGATTTTTTGAAAAACAAAAAATCCTACGCAGGCTGCAACATTTCGCGGATTAATCTACATAAACAATGAGGTTGCAGTAAGGACAACATTAACCAATAGTGCGTGGCTACCCGTGCACGGGGGAGAGCTAGTATCCACAGTTCCACACAGCACACATCGAGACATGCCCAAATCACATACTTAATCGGTACCAACGCGGACGCGTGAATGGAGGGAGAAAACACACATTTCGCGTGATTTCGCCGAGTAGCACGCGCGCGTCATAATAGCGAGCAAGTCACAGGGGCACCGGGCAAGCGAGTCAAGTGTACTTACCGTCCTCGTCGAGGACCTGAACGTGGATGAAGAGGAAGTGGAAGCCCCCGGGGTTGGAGCGGACGAGCTTGGAGAGCGTCCAGTCGAAGGCGGTGCGGCAGCTGATGGAGGGGTGCAGGTACCCCTTGAGCGACGACTCGTTCACCGCCATCATCACTCTCGTCGGCGCCGACGAGTCCGCCATTGCAGCGCACGCACGGCTCGCTCCCTCGCTCAGGCTGCCTTCCTCGTCAAGAAGAGGAGAAGTTTTGGGGGAAATTTTGAGCAGATGACAAAAGGCAGGCCCACTTATTTCTTTCTTCACATCGGCAAACATAATCCCCTTATTTTGCTAAGTCTGCGCTGGCATCAACCAAGCAAAGCCGCCTCGAGCCCTCGGGTCCCGAATCTTCTTCCGTTTCTTTTCCTTCGCTAGGGTAAGGTAACATTTTTTTCAGGACACAGTAGTCAATCGCTAAATATTCTCCAAACAAATCGGATAGTATCATGCATTGTCACATATTTAATTTAAGATAAGAGGACGTTTTATATTAACATAGAGTCTAAGTTTATCATAGCTTATGCCGCTTCCTGAAAACACATTAAAGAAAAGTAACGTCATGTTTGATACACGTAGCTATTTACTGATTAGTCTAAATATTAATTCAAATTAGCTGGCTAGCTAGCTAGTTAGCTAAAACCTACTAGTTGAAGACTTTGCTAAAAGTCCTTATCTTTGGATACACTAGAACCAATTTTAGTTAATTTTTAACTAGCTAGTGATTAGCTCTTGTATCTAAACATGCCTTAAATTTAACCAATTAGTAAATTCTGGATATACGAATAGAAGTAGCGAATAGTGAACGGGTTGCAAAAGCTCATAGAATTGGATTCAATATATACATAGATTGTATTAAAAATCATTTAATATTATTTTCTATTTCCACAAAACTTAATTGATACCGTTTGGTCATGTTTATGTTTTTATTTGATTTGTACTTTTAAGATATGATATAACTTGCTTCATAATATAGCAGAGTACGAAACATAAAAGAATCATTTTTTGGTAGTTTTATATGTTAATATAGCAATAACCATCCCTTGGGTATCTAAAAAATTACATGATAGTACGTTATTTGCCTAGAGTACAATTGCAGTAGATGTGTTTTGATTCACTATTCATAAGATATTGATATGGTATTATTATAGAAACTATAATATCAAGCACGAGCGGATCCAAAAATAGCCCAAGGGGGGCTAAATAATTTGAGTTGGGCTTTGATAGGGTTGTTGGGTTGAGGTAAAGACGAGTTAGGTTGACTAGCTCCTTGTATTTGTGGCCCCCCCTAATTTGCCCATGATATCAAGTTTTGATGTATAATAAAGGGGACAAGAGAGAAAGACATGAAAAAGGGTACTTCAAATGCCTTCTTTTTTCCTTGCTTCCATGGCACCATGTGGTTGTAGACAACATCATAGTTTGTCAACTTCTTTTGTCTTAAAAAATACAATTCTAGATTTGAACAAGTCAAACTTTTTTTAAGTTTGGTTAGACTTATATAAGATATATTATTAATAGTTGTGTCTTCGGATGAATTTATTATAAACACCTTAATTTTAGTATGGAAATTAACGGTATAAGCATGGGAAATATGAGATTAGCATGTATTATTAGTTTCTTTCACATCAATGCTCCTATGCAAGTGGTTTTTTCTTTCTTTCTTAAGTTTCTTTATGAAACATATTCTTATACCCACACACCCATATGAACAAGCGAATGAACAAACACATACTTAGACACTCATAACAAGCATAGAATTTGAACCATGATGAACACGGTCGGCCATAAAAAATCAACGAACAAAGTTCTCTCATTAAGTGTTAGTTTAAGCAATCATATGTTATATATGCATTTAATACTTATATAATTAATCCTCTAATAACATAAAATAGCATAAAATAGCCATTGCTTATGAGTTATGACAAGTTAGTGATATTAAAGACTTGGACCACCCAGAAATTAGCAGCATAGGAAAAATGATCATGCCGTGGTCACGGTGCCTAAACATCTGACTCAGGTTGTTAGTTTTTTTTTAATGCCAAACTTTGAGCATATAATGAGGGAAAAAACATTCTATATATATTCACGGGAGGAATCTGATTCAACCGACCCCTTCCATCATCGTGCAAATTTTCTTTGGCACTTTTGGTGTGCAGGAAGCAATGTATGCTTTCGGTTAGCAATCACTTGATTGCTACCGATCTCTTGTCTATGATGCACTTCGGAGACGTGCAGCGGTTGCTCAGCCTCATTTGCACGGGAACGCGTGGTTCTCACGGGCCAACTGCGAGCTGACGTTGTCTCGACGGCCGACACGGCCCGGGTACGCAGAGTCTTGTTCCACGTAGAGGCCGTGCGCTGTCTGCTGCTCACACGTGGGTCGCTCTGCCCATTGACCGAAGGATGATTGTAGAAGCGCGGATCCGGTGAGTAATGACTCATTGATCTGTTCAGATTTCAGATACTGTCCAAAAATAGAATTCGATTATAGTTTGCATTTTTGTTAACATATCTAAATTTTAACTAAATATAGATACCTATAACACCAAATAAATATAGTATAAAAATATATCTTATAACTAGTCTAATTATACTTATTTGATGTTATAAATATTGATATTTTTTATCTATAATTAGTCAAATTCAAGATATTTTAATTCAATATTATGCTAGAATTATATTCTTTTGCGAACGTTATTCTACTATGGTTGAACACGACGCACAGGGTACCATCGTGGTCTAGGGCATTTCGAGTCCTCGTCCGTCACGCACAGCGGCACATGTTTTTTATTTCTTTTCCCGTTTGATGTCATTTTTTGTCCAAACCTCCCTTTGATTTTCCTGTTCATTCCATTATGTTTTCTTTATTTTTCCTATTGAACTAAATGTGAATGTGGCCACGTTCTATTCTGATTTTCCGTTCAACTAAATCTATTTCCATTATGTCTGTTTTACTTTTCACGTTCAATTAAAAGTGGATGTGAAAATAAAAACTGATAGATGGACAATAACAATAAAAATAAAGAATAAAAACAACACAATAGGCTCTGAACTTGACATTTCACCGGTTTAGAAACAAATATTCCTATCACCAAATTATTTATTTAACTTTGATTAAAAGCAAAATTTATATATATTATTATAACCTGGTTGATCGAACTAATCGAAACTAGATATTGTGTAGTTTGTTATACAGTCCGGTCTAAATAAATGTGCCCATGTATGTTGTATGTATGAGTGCACTCCCCGACAATAGCGCGACGTGAAAAATTAAGAGAAACCTCCTATTGTAATCATTGTCATAATAATCATCAGACACACCAACCCTTGAGGCCTTAACATACAGGTAACTAACTTCAAGCCAACTCGAATTACAAATTTTTACGTATTTTTAAAAGAATTCATGAAATTTGATATTTAACAGACCTTAAAAAAATTGATATTTAACCATACCAATGTATGGATATTATTAAATTAAACTTAAGAAACATCTACGACAAAATATTTCTGTGCTAGGAACGGGAGAAAAAAATATATCAAGGCCGATACAAAGCTTGATTGAATATTGTTATATTATTGCCAATGTTGGCTTATATTTTGGATGTTACAGTCGTCACAAAATGAATTATGATCCTAAATTTCATAAAAGAGAAAAACATAAATAGTCATGTAGCACTTCTGTCTCCGTTTTTCATAAACATTTGATTGTTTTTTTCTCCCATTGCAACGTACAGGCATATTTGCTAATAACAGGGAAAAAAATACTTGAGCCGCAATCCATATCTCCTCCACGTTTCCACCTGGCTGTGCTGGCCACGGGCATGTTTGGTATAGCTCAGCTTCACTAATGAATTAATTTTTGTTGGCTTTGACTCTAAAAGTAGTTTTACCGGTGAAGTTAAATCTGTATAGGTAAACTGTTTGCTAAAACAACTTTTACTTGTTTTTGAAAACATTGAAATGTCTATAATATCCTTTTCTTTTTTTTTTCTTTCTTTTCCTCTTTTTTCTTTTGTTCCTTTACTATCTTTCTCCCTTATTTTACTTTTTTGTTTCTCTCTCCTATATCCGGCTGGGCTTCTTCACGGTACGCAACTTCTCGCCGCGCAGTGGTCTGGGCGAGTCCGCCCCGCCCGTCCCCGGCGACTCCCCCGGAACGGCCGCGCTCGCCCTTCCTGCCCCGGTACGGCCGCGCTCACCTTCCCGCACTCCGGGCCCTCAGAGGCCGCAAAGCCGCATCCTCTGAGAGCTCGCCGCGCCACCGTCCTCGGAGCCGCGCAGCCGTCCTCGGAGCTCGCCGCGCCGTCATCTTCGGAGCTCGCCGCGCCGTCGTCCTGCTCCGCCCCTCCACTAGCCTTGCTCGTCTCGGGGGCAAACTGGACTAGGCACGCCAGGGCCCACGAGAGCGTCCGAGAGCGGGGCTGGGCGTTAGGGTTGGACACGGATCCCGACCCGTTACCAAGACGTCCAGACCCACGCGTGCGCTTCCTTTGGGCCGAATAAAAGCCCGGCCGGCTACCGTTCAGACTTCAGTGGCCAGCGTTCCAACTCTCTCTGCCTGCGACGCCGACTAGCTGCGTTACCGCCGCCGCGGCCGCCGCTCGCCCTACGCCAGGTGCGAGGCCTTCATCGGTATCTTCACCGACGAGCAGCACCAACCAGCGTATTTGGCCATTTGATGCTTACTAACTTTTAATTTTGCAAAAATTAGGTCCGTCCCTGCCCCAGTCTGCACTCTACGATGGCGGCGCCTCCGGCCACGGCTCCCGCGACCTCCCGGTGTCTGCCCGGTGCCAAGCCGCGCTGGGCTGCTGAGCGGAGCTCCGGCTCGTTTGCCATCTCGGCCCCCGCGATTTGCCTCCGGCAAAGTGGGAGCGGCGTCCTCAGCGTCCGTGCCAAGGTGAGCGTCGGACGAGATTATCGTTTCCACAGATTTGACTACTCTACTAAGCGTCAGTGACTTCTTTGGTAGTTTGGTTGTGGTGCTTAAAAAAAACCGTGCAATCGTCTCATCCAAATTCCATGCTACCGTAGGGCTCTGGATCCGTTATTTACTGTTGGCTACTGATTGTTTTTACCCCTATGGAATTGAGCTGTTTTGTGTTCTTCCACGCAGGTTGCCTCCGGCGTGCAGAGGGCCAGCATTGTGGATGATGGAGGTGGGTTGTCTTTTACTCGCTGATTTGGATATGAAGTTTTGTATTTGGCACGTGGAGTAAGCGCTTGGGATTTTGTAGCAAGATTCATATTGATAATGTACTTTACAATTTGAGAGCTCCATTATTTCTAGTTTCACCATTTTTGAAATCTCCATGCAGCGGAAAGGCCGTGGAAGCTCAGTGATGCTCGTCTTGTCCTGGAAGATGGTTCGGTGTGGAGGGCCAAGTCTTTTGGTGCTTCAGGAACACAAGTCGGTGAAGTTGTTTTCAACACATCACTGACAGGGTAAATCATTTTGGACTGAGTTATGCTTGGCATGTTTTGCATGTCTTCGTTGGTTATTGTTTTTCTGAGCAGTGGCATGTTTTGCATGTCTTGGCTGATTATTGTTTGTTTTCTCAGTCAAGTTGCTGTTTACTCAGGCAATTCTCATATTAGGAGTTTAGATATTTGATGGGGGGCACACTTACTCCTGTCACCTAACCAACCTCCGATTTCACTGTACCTGTATCACATATTGATTTAGCTTAGTCATATAGTTATATGAAGCAAATGAACATAAATGACTATAAATTTGGTTCCAGCTTCCAGTCAGTTCATTGTGGTTGGAAATTTAAGAGTTACAAGCTTCCGTTTACATCAAAGTTGATGTGACAGAACTGTTTGGGATAATGGGATCAATTGCTGAATTTTGGTGGTTCTTGCAACCAGGGGGGAGTGGGAGAGCTTCATTGAGGTGAGACAATCTGCAGAGATGATATTATTCATCATATTCAGCGGAGGCATTGGGGCCTGAAGATACAGAGGATTGTTAAGTCATTCAGAAGTTAGGCTGGTGATAATAGCTTGATTTTTTTTGGCTGGTTGTTTGACACAGATTGTACTAGTTTTGGCATTCAGAGTGCTGCATTTCTTCGACAAACCTTTCTGTACTATTGAATTGAATATGACTTGTCGATGTAGTTATGTTGATGATTATGCACCATTCTATGTTGGACTAAGAATTGTTACTTATGTTGCACATTTGTGGTTGCAGCTATCAGGAGATTTTGACTGATCCAAGCTATGCTGGTCAATTTGTCCTCATGACCAATCCTCATATTGGGAACACTGGCATTAATCCTGGTTTGTTACTTCTCTATTTGAGAGATTTAATATGCGTTTTTTGACAGTTTAGCATGAATGAAGTATAATGCTCTCGCAGATGATGAAGAATCAAACCAATGTTTTCTTGGTGGCCTAATCATAAGAAATCTAAGCATATGGTTAGATTTTTTCCTTTGGTTTTGTTATTTTTGGCATTTTAAACGAACTACGGCCTCTTTATCTGTTAAATGATATTTTCTGTTATAGTACTTCCAACTGGCGATGCAAAGAAACACTTGAAGAGTATCTGATTAAGAGGAACATCATGGGAATATGTAAGTGATGTAGAAGCTAACCTCCATCCCGCCCTCTCCCTCTCCCTCTCACTATCCCTATCCCTATCCCTCTCCCTTTTTCTGTCTTATGTGTGGACTCTCCGACTTAGACACACATGTGATTTAAATTCACCATGGATTTACGTTTTTGACAGATGACGTGGATACACGTGCTATAACACGAAGGTTAAGAGAAGATGGTAGTCTTATTGGTGTCTTGAGTACTGACCAGTCTCAGACAGACAATGAGTTGTTGGAAATGGCCCAAAAGTGGAAAATTGTTGGTATGTTAAAACTTCATCAATCAGCAATGTCCTTGAAAGAAGTGACTTTCTTCTTTTTTATGCACACTTCAGTATCTATCTCCACTGATGAACCTAAATGACTGCATAGTGGTCAGCTTAGATATAATAGATTTCTTTTCCCAACATATTCCAGTGAGAACTAACCTAACATGTATTGAGCTGTTTATTCTTTTGCTTTTGATTTGTATTAATTGGATTGTAGAGCTGTCGTTCTGATATCATAAGCGTTTTGATCTTTGAAAGAACTAGGTGCAATTGGATATAATCAGTGAATTATCACTTCAAATATTTAATGGGTTCAGAAAAGAAAAGAAAAATATGGGATTATAGAAAGCAGCTAAAATATCCACTTCTAAAATTGGTTGAATCTGTTGGAATACTTTGATTTCCTACTGTTTCAAGGAATTGATTTAGTTATTTGATATTGATGTTTAAGCTGTTAGTTTCTTGGCTCTAATAATGAAAGAAACATTCATGTTGATATTATGCAGGAGTGGATTTGATTAGTGGTGTCACATGTGATGCTCCATATGAATGGTCGGACAAGACCGATTCAGAATGGGAGTTCAAGAGGGATCAGTCAAGTAAAACTTTTCATGTCAGTATTGACACTCTTTCCTACACATCCAAAATAAATATTGTACCTGATATTCACTTCATTTCTTCTATAGGTGGTTGCCTATGACTTTGGTATCAAGCATAATATTTTGAGACGATTGACATCATATGGATGCAAAATAACAGTTGTTCCAGCAAATTGGCCTGCTTCAGAGGTACTCAATTTGAAGCCTGATGGTGTTCTTTTTAGCAATGGTCCTGGAGATCCAGCTGCAGTTCCCTATGCTGTGAAGACAGTACAAGAAATAATTGGGAAGGTTCCTGTTTTTGGCATCTGTATGGGCCACCAATTGATTGGGCAGGCTCTTGGTGGGAAGACATTTAAAATGAAATTTGGTCATCATGGCGGGAATCACCCTGTCTGTGATCTCCGTAGTGGACGTGTAGACATAAGTGCACAGGTTTGTTCCTACCTCTTACTTTTCTTTATGCTTGATGTGAGTCATGTCTGTTAAAAAAACCAACCTAGGAGGAACTAGGCATCTTTGAAATTAAGAAAGAAATTAGCGCCCAGATTGGCAGATTAGACTTGATGAGTTCTTGAACTTTGGTGGTCTGGGCATGCATACACACCCACAACGAACTGAGCTAGCTCAGTCGTCATTCAGCTGAAAAAAGGAGTTGGGCTTAAATAGTTACTAGTTTATGCTAATCTTCATTGCAATTACCACCGTCTGCTGTTGTATCTCTATTTGTTGAGAGGTGATTTTGTTTTGTTAGGCAATCATGCTACAACCAATAGCAGTATAGCCTGCTAGAGTAAGTAAATATGACAAGTCAGTTGAGATATAAAATCGGTTATTGGTTGAAATGAGTGGGGGTTCCCACCAAGAAGATTATGTTTTACCTCCTAATTATGGTAGTATCCATGCTGTTACTTTTCTCTAATCCATATTACTGAGAATCTGAAATCACTATTCTTTGTTTTTTTACTTGTGATGCTTCCTAGCTTGTATTTGTAATATGTATTGTCCTAAAGCATGATTCATTTCCCTGTAGAACCATAACTACGCAGTCGACCCAGAATCACTTCCAGAAGGAGCAAAAGTAACTCACGTCAATCTCAACGATAATAGTTGCGCTGGCCTTCAGTACTCCAAGATGAAGCTTATGTCTCTCCAGTACCATCCTGAGTCTTCCCCAGGTCCGCATGACTCCGACACAGGTACATCTCTTTTGCTAGAATCTTGTATAGATCCACCATGGTGTAGAACATACTGCTTTCTTAATATGATTTAGCTGATGTCTGGATTCATCTTTTGTGTTTTACAGCCTTCGGTGAGTTTATAGAGCTCATGAAGAGCAACAGATTGTGAGGGAGGGAAGTACTTGAAATGAAAAGGTCAATAATTGTATTGGTGCTCCCTCGCACCAAGCTCAAAAGAATTTGTTGCATCTGTAGTGTTTTTCTTTTGGATGTTCATGTGCTTGAATTTTTGGGTCGAGAGGACATAGCATGAGATGCTCTGCGCATTGTACCATGAAATGACCTGGTTGAATTTTGTGAGAATAACATGTTATCAAATTGTACGGTACGATTATGCCTCGTGAATTTCTGATCGGCAAGTAAAGTAGTGATGACGTCGGCTGATACATAAGCCGGCTGAAGCTGTTTTGTTGTGAGAGAAAAATACTATAGATTCTAGCTGATAAGCCGGCTGATAAGTTCAAGCGAACAGGGTCGAGATAAAGGATGGCCTGGTCAGTGGATACTTTTGTTGTTCCAGGCTAATCAGATGTGCACAACGTTGTTGTCAGCTTTTTAAATGTCTGATGGAAAATCATCCAGCTTTTGGTGGCGACAAGTTGCGCGTAGATCATTCGATGTGCATCTGATCTGGAAACTTTCTCGTTTATCTGTAGTGCCCTTGTAGATGCTCTGTCTGACCAGATTGACGGTGTGACGAGGAGAAAAGGGGTTTGGATACCTTTTTTTTGTTAGTTTGCCTTGTTGGTATTTCTAATGTCGTCGATACGTCCATGTTCGAAGTTGAGGTGTTCTGCTTTCGATTACCGTGTGTTTTCGGCAATTTGTTGTCAAAAGGTCACAAGATCTCTTATAAAAAAAGGAGAAAAGATCACAAGACCTGAGAATTTGCTCTCTTTCAGCATTTTGCTAGGTGCCTGGTCAGAGGTTGTAAGCACATCGCTCTCTAGGAAAGGTATGCGAGAGTGCGAGAGAATCTGCCATCTAGGTTTGCCGAGCATTTTTGCGAGGTCTGACTATGACTAGGCAAGTTTCATCATATTATCTGATAATCAGCTTGTTCGTGTGTTGATTTTAGCCAGAGCTTATCAGTTATGATACAGTGTTTTTCTCTCACAACAAACTAGCGTCAGCCAGACTTATCAACTCAAAAACCAACCAGTGAACAGGCTCAATAGAGCACCGAATAATCGCGCTCCGCACGGCTTTTCAACCTGGTACAGGAAGCGGTTGTCCTCTGCTTCAATGCTCTTTCCTTCTTTTTCTTCACCTGATGAAATCTCCTTTACAACTAAAAAGACTAAAAATAAGACTATTTTTTGTGCTTTTTTTTTTGTCGCTCCTTCCTTCCGGCCATGCGATACTCCACGCGATAGAAAAAAAAACTAACATCACTGTAATCCCCCACCTACTTTGAAGAAAACAAATCGATCATCCTGAGACCACATACATGGAAGGAAACAATAATCATACATGGACCATACGATACTCTACGTGATAGAAAAAGAAACTACCGTCCTGCTATCTCCATTTACTTTGAAAGGAACGAATCGATTACCTGATGCCATGGAGCTGAGAGTTCCTCTCGGTCTCGGTGGTGTCTTCACGTGCTTGGGTCGGCGCTGGACTCTCTGAGTCTCTGGCGAGTTCGGCGGCGCTGGCAAGGCCGAATTTGAGCACGACGGTGTGGGCGGAGGAGGATGCTTCGACGTTAGTGCCGACCAAGGGACCAGGGGCCGGGATGGACATGGACGTGGCTGAGCCCAAAGGCCGATGTATATGAGTTCGGTTACATATAAAAAACGCTATAAAAACCGATATAGTTGAGATGGAGTCGTAGAATGAGAATCAGTCTCGCGGCCAATAGTGCATTGCCTTCTCAGGAGGAGTTGCTATGGCTCTATTCTTTATTCTCGTTTTTGCTAAGTCGGGTGATATTTGTATGTTCTTTTGCTCTTTTTCTTAGAAATCGTATTGTCCTTTTTGCTCTTTTTTTTTAAAAAAAAACTAGGTCGCGTGTTCGTGCGTTGCTACGGAATAAATAATTTTTTTTACTAAAAACACACGGATCATACGATAAAATAACAATACTGTTAAATTAAATACCGACGTCAAAGTGACATTTAGGCCCCGTTCGCTGGTTTGAAACTTGACTGAAACTGACTGAAAAACACTGTTCCGGTTGAATTGTTGTGAGAGAAAAACACTATTCCGGCTGAAAAAAGAAGCCAAACAAACCGAATATGGGGTAAGCCGAACAGGGCCTTAATTCAAAAAGCAAAGTTCGTGAAATTAACACAGTCACGAAAAACGCGACGTCGCAGGCTCACAAACTCTACTGTATAGACTTTTTCGTGATACGGCTAAGATAATATTTTATATCGGCAGAAAGAATTCTACGATATCCATTTCTTTCATGCGTCAATAAATCCATGAATAAGTTCCACTGCATTTTTATATAATCATGTACACACAGATTCAAGTATATATGTAAATATGTTCGTGCCCATGCGTTGGTACGGGATAACTAAACTTTTATATTAAAAACGCACGGATCGCACGATAAGATAACAATACTGTAAAAGTATATGACCGACGTTAAAGTGACATTTAATCCAAAAAGCTAAGTTCGTGAAGTTTACAGTCGCAGAGAGCATGACGTCGCAGGCTCACAAACTCTACTGTGTAGATCTTTCTGTGATGCGGCTAAGATCATTTTTTATACCGGCAGGAAGAGATTTCTGATATACATTTCTTTCGTGCACCAACAAATCCATGAATAAGTTACACCACATCTCCATACCATCCTGTATACGGCGCTGGCAAGCGAATTAGCCACAACTTATATGATTAGTTTTATAATTAGCTCTTATTTAGTCTTCCTAATTGATATCTAAAAATTCAATGTGACAGGGACTAAAGTTTAGATCTGAGATCCAAACACCCCGTAACTCTCAACTCTTGCTGGCTGTTCACTTGCACCACCATGCCTATGTGTCTGTACGTATATACTGTAATGCCAGAACGTCTAAGATGGTCTTTATTGTCATCCTTTGAAAATATCATAACTTTAAAGTTGCCATTTGTGTATGCTGTAGGATGTGATGTTTTGCACTGATTCATGAGGGTGTCTATAAGAGTCGAAATTTTTTATACCATTATGATGTCTAAGCTTACCAATTAGATAGAGACAAACTTGATTGTTAAAATATTTTCAACACTGCTTTCATATACTCCCTCTGTCCCAAAATAGAATTCATTCTCGCTTTATGAGAAGTCAACTTTTTTTTTAACTTCGACCAATTATGGGCTCGTTCGGCTGGTTGAAAAATCCAGCCGGATTTCACTGTACGCGGATAAAAAACAATGTTCACTCTCTCACAAATTTCTCTAGACTCATACAGATTCCTCTAAATTTCTCCCAGCGAACAGAACCTATATATAAAATAATATTAATATTTACAATACATAATTAGTATCATTACATAGACCATTAAATATATTTTCATAATAAACTTATTTGAAAATATAAATATTGTACGTATTTTTTACAAACCTAGTCAAGGTTAACAAAATTTGACCTGCACACATCCCATAATAACTTATATTTTGAGACAGAGGAAGTATACGCTAATGAGAGTAGTCAACTAAAAGTCGTCATGAACACAATAATACTTTCATATTATATGCTAATTAGAGCATGAAGAAACGTAGGAAAATGAACCTATATATGAATGGTAGAAATATTCGTTTAGGAAATTGCAGAAGGTTCACCAGTCTCACCATGTATAACTTGTACATCTTTTATTTAGCACCACTGATATTATCAAGGAGCAAATATTTTTTAATTTTAGATCTACGTGCTGAAAACACTAAAATTAAAGACCAACCTCGTTAAGTCGTCTTAATCTTTTCCAATTGTTTCCACGCACGATTATATGGTCGTTGTTGTCCTCATCGCTTCCCGGGCCTGACAAGCGTGATATTTCTGTTGTTCTGGACTTCACCCCTGCCTTTCCATCCCCCGTCCACCCCGCGTGATCTCTCCCGTGCGCCAAGGCGTACGCGTCCTCTCCCTCGTGCGGCGAGGCAACCGTCGCCGTCGCCCTAAGCCAGGTGCCCATGTTTTCGCCAGGCCCTTCCTCGCTTGCCGGCGACGAGCACCCACTAGGTATCCGCACCCTCCCTCTCCCATTCATGCTGTGCGAAACCGATCACCCGAATCCCACCTGAATTCTAACTTAAGCTACTTGCTATTTGGTATTCGGATCTGATCTAATTACAAGTGTATACATGCTTACTAACTTACTTTACTTTTTATTTGTTTGCAAAAATTATTGGGCACCCACGTCCTTTACTGGGTCCGCACCTTGTTCTTCGTTAGAGCTCAATTAATGTTCTGCACTTAATAGCTGCTGGCCGTTCTCCCTGCATTGTAGAATTTTCGCTAAAAGTAAACATCAAGTACAGAGTTACATGAAAGTATGGTACAAAAGTTAGAGAAAGGAAAAGTGAAAGCAACAGTGAAAAGGGGCTAGGAAGTAGGATGTACACTATAATTGGATTCGGCAGTTAGGTGACACCGACCTTGAAGCCAATCAGTCTATGCTTGAGCCTCTTAGGGAACCCCTGAATTTCCATAGCTCTATTATATCTTTGATTTTCTGCTTTCATCTGTTGTGCAGACTACAATTGCATCTTGAAGAATAAAATGGACCAACATGATTCCATGGCTGACTCACCAAGGAGGCGGCACAACCTTCTGCGTGACAAGATCCAACTGGTGAAAAGGAAGGACTCAAATCGCTATGAGATTGTCCGCTTCCACGATCCATTGTCTTTTGAGAAAGGCTTCTTTGTTGTGATCCGGCTGACTCACAAAGCACTTTGCATATTGTCTTATTGTTTATTTAATCTGTAAATGCCACTTCCTTCACAACAACAAAATTTCTGGAAAAAGCAATAAAATATAGTTATGTTACATATATCTTGAGCTGTCTCTCGTGCACATTTAGTCATTTGGAAACTGCATACCACTGCATTGATAATGGTATGATTATTATCTTATAAAATATATGACGCAATGTTAGTATCAGAGTGCTCTATTATTACAAGCTGCATTCTCTAAGGTGATAGTGTTTCCTACCAGAGAAATTGATATATTCACCTCTTAAAACTTGCTCAGATCCACGTCTGACAGACTATGACACACTGCTGGAAAATATTCATGGTCTGAAGGAAGGAAGGTCAGTTCAGGTTCCAATATATGATTTCAAGTCGAGCTGCCGGACCGGTTATAGGTAAATAATCACTGCTATCTTTCAATATTACAAGCTAAAGTCCATATTTCATCATCCATTCGAATATGATCATTCATTTGAATATCATAATTTCTTATGTGCAAACAGAACAGTTGATGTCCCTAGCTCCCAAATTGTTATCATTGAAGGTATTTATGCACTGAGTGAGAAGTTACGGCTTGTGATGGACTTGCGTGTTTCTGTCACTGGTGGTGTCCATTTTGACCTAGTGAAGAGGGTTTTAAGGGATATACAGCGAGCTGGCCAGGAGCCTGAAGAAATAATTCATCAGATCTCTGAAACGGTAGGTTGAATTTTTCAACTTGGCTATACATTTTATGAGCAATCTTGTGGTTCATGTTAACATGTGAATTGCCTCTTACTGTAATTGGTGTGGTTTAATGAAAGATGGCATTTTCAGGTTTATCCAATGTACAAGGCTTTCATCGAACCAGATTTGGAGACCGCACATATTAAGATCATCAACAAGTTCAACCCATTCTCAGGGTTCCAAAATCCTATGTACATTCTAAAGGTAGGCATCACGAGAAAATTGTAGAATTGTGCACCAATGACATAGTTTCAACAACAAACGTTGAGAAAATTGTTGAACTGTGCACCGCCGCCAGTCACCAAGGTCTCTAGCACCTGAGAAAATCAAGGCTATGCTTGGTGATGATCATACGGAAAGCAATGAAGAAACTTATGATATATATCTACTTCCACCTGGTGAAGACCCAGAAGCCTGTCAATCTTACTTGAGAATGCGGAATAGGGAAGGGAAATATAATCTAATGTTTGAGGTATATTCGTTTTATGTTTTTTCCTATCTTACCAATGGAATTCCAGTTTTATGCTTCTCTCTCTTATGAATGGAATTTCAGTTTTATGTTTGATAGCTACGAATTATACTTTTGAGTGATATTGTTAGTTGATAATGTTCTGATACTAGTACTGTATAAGGTTCTTTGGATTAAGTCCACTCCTTAGCTGCCATGTAATTTTATTCCATACCATATTTCCCCTGGAATCTTTGCTAGAACATGAAAGACTAATTCAGTTCAATTTTTACCGCAGTCAGATTCTAAATTTTACTTCTCTTTTTATATTTTCTAGATCTGCTTAATTTAACACATTTGATCAGTCTCCCCTGCAGTCACTTAGATTTACTTGTATTTGTTTCTATTGTTCGTGGCTACATGCCTACATGCAATAAACAAACCCTTGCTGGCAGCCCTGGTGTTCACTAAAACTCTTATGTTATTTTGTGCTCGAAGGAATGGGTGACCGACAATTCTTTTATCATATCACCAAGGATCACTTTTGAAGTCAGTGTACGTCTTCTTGGTGGTTTGATGGCATTGGGATATACTATAGCAGCTATACTGAAGAGAAGCAATCGTGTTTTTTCTGATGGCAAGGCAACTGTTAAAATTGATTGGCTGGAACAACTTAACAGACAGTATATACAAGTGAGCATAATATTTGTTGTCTGGTTGATGTAGTTTCTCTCAATGTCATTGTTATATCAGGTTCTTGAATACTATTTATTTCATTATCTCCGCCTATGTTGTCTCAACATAGCAGGTCTCAAGCCCTGGTAAAGGAGGAGGGTTGTGATAAGCGTGGCGATCCAACGTTAAATCTAGCCATTCTAATGGAGATGAAACCCAAAAGAAAACCGTTGGGGCATAACCCTATTAGCGACGTGCCATATCGGAACCCGGGTATGGTGTTAAATGGGCAAGGGCCGGGTCGGCACCCCCTTGGTGACGTGCCATGTCGCGATCTGGGCATGGTGTCAAGTGAGCAAGGATCGGGTCGTCGCTTCCTTAGTGGTGCGCTACATCGGCGTCCGGGTGTAGTGAAAAATGAGCAAGGGTCTTCACATCTGAGTCGACGGGTGCGAAAGGTAAGGAAGCTAGTCGAACCAACTAGGATCCATTTAGGTAATTAGAATATAGGGTCGCTTACAGGTAAGTTAAGAGAATTAGTTGATACCGTTACTAGGAGGCGTGTAAATATATTATGCGTTCAAGAGACTAAATGGAAGGGTCAGATGACGAAGGAGGTGGACAATACAGGTTTCAACCTTTGGTACACAGCGACAGTCGCGAATAGAAATGGAGTAGGAGTTTTGATTGTTAAGAGCCTCAAGAATGGTGTGGTGGGAGTGAGAAGGCAAGGAGATATGATTATCTTAGTCAAGCTTGTCGTTGGTGATATGGTCTTGAACGTAATTAGTGCGTATGCCGCTTAAGTAGGCCTCGACAAGAGTGCTAAGAGACAGTTCCGGGAAGAATTAGATGGCCTGATTAGAGCTGTACCTAGTAGTGAGAAGCTTTTTATAGGAGGAGATCTTAATGGCCATGTAGGTACTACAAGCGCAGGTTTCGAGACAGTTCATGGAGGTTTTGGGTATGGTAGTAGGAATCAGGAGGGGGAGGAAGTTCTGGACTTCGCGGTAGCTTTTGACCTGATGATAGCCAACACTTTCTTTAGAAAGAGAGAATCTCATCTAGTGACCTTCAGTAGCGGACAACACTCTAGCCAGATTGACTTTGTCCTCGCAAGAAGAAAGGACAAACGAGCATGCTTGGGTTGCAAGGTGATACCAGGGGAGTGTGTTGTTTCTCAACATAAGCTTTTGGTGGCAGACTTTTGTTTTCAGGTGCGTGCCCGTAGGGATAAACAAGCTAAGATTAAAAGAATAAAGTGGTGGAAACTGAAAGGGGAGACGTCAGAGGTATTCAGGGAAAGGGTTATCAAAGAGGGCTCTTGGAAGGAAGGAAGAGGACATAAACAATGTGGGAGAAGATGGCAAACCAATATTCGGAAGGTGGCCTCAGAGGTGTGTGGAGTAACCAAAGAAAGTGGAGACGAGGCTAAAGATACTTGGTGGTGGAACGAGAAAGTTCAAAGGGCTATTAAGGAGAAGAAAGAATGCTATAGACGCTTGTACCATGACAGGAGTGTGGACAACATAGAGAAGTACAAGGTGGCAAAGAAAACTGCAAAGCGAGCTGTAAATGTGGCAAAGGGTAGGGCGTACGAGAATCTTTATCAACATTTGAGTACGAAGGAAGGAGAGAAGGACATTTATAGGATGGCTAGGGTTCGTGAGAGAAAGACAAGGGACTTTAACCGAGTTAAGTGCATTAAGGATGAAAGGGAGCATCTCTTGGTGAAGGAGGATGAGATCCGACATCGATGGCAAGAGTATTTTGACAAATTGTTCAATAGTGAGAATGCGGACACAACCTTTCAGTTGGATGACTCTTTTGATGACACCAATAGGCGCTTTGTACGGAGAATCCAAGAATCTGAGGTCAGAGAGACGTTGAAAAGAATGAAATGAGGTAAGGCGATGGGACTGGATGGTATCCCAATTAAGGTGTGGAGATGCCTTGGGGACAACTATAGTATGGCTAAACAAGCTGTTCAACCTTATTTTTCGATCGAACAAGATGCCCGACGAGTGGAGAAGTATATTGGTACCGATCTACAAGAATAAATGTAATATTCAAAGTTGTACTAATTACCGGGGAATTAAGCTGATGAGCCATACTATCAAGCTATGGAAGAGAGTTATCGAGCATTGTTTGAGAGTAATAACGCGGGTCTCTATGAACCAATTTGGTTTCATGCCCGGAAGGTCAACCATGGAAGCCATTTTCTTAATAAGACAAGTTATGGAGCGGTATAGGGAGAAGAAGAAGGACCTACACATGATTTTATTGACTTGGAGAAGGCTTATGATAAAATACCAAAAAATGTTATGTGCTGGGCTTTGGACAAACATAAAGTCCCAATGAAGTACATCGGGCTCATTAAGGACATGTACAACAATGTTGTGACTAGTGTTCGAATAAGTGATGGAGACATGGATGACTTCCTGATTAGGATAGGACTACATCAAGAGTCAGCTTTGAGCCCTTATCTGTTTACTTTAGTGATGGATGAGGTCACAAGGGACATACAAGAGGACATCCCTTGGTGTATACTTTTCGCGGACGATGTAGTGTTAGTGATGAAAGCCGGACAGGAGTGAATCAGAAACTGAAGTTATGACGGGAGACTTTGGAGTCCAAAGGTTTTACACTCAATAGAACTAAAACTGAGTATATGAGATGTGACTTCGGCAGTAGTACCCGAGAAGAGGAAGATATTAGTTTGGATGGTCAAGTAGTGCCTAGGAAGGATACCTTTCGATATTTAGGATCAATGCTACAGAGAGACGGGGATATTGATGAAGATGTTAGCCATAGAATCAAAGCAGGGTGGATGAAGTGGCGCTAAACATCTGGTGTCCTATGTGACAAAAGAGTACCACAGAAGCTAAAAGACAAGTTTTATAGAACGGCGATTAGACCTGCTATGTTGTATGGTGTAGAATGTTGGTCTACGAAAAGACGACATGTTCAACAGATAAGTGTCGCAGAAATGCGTATGTTGCGTTGGATTTGCGGTCATACAAGAAGGGATCGAGATCGAAACGATGATATACGTGATAGATTAGGGGTAGTACCAATTGAAGAAAAGCTTGTCCAACACCGGTTGAGATGGTTTGGACATGTCCAACGGAGACCTCCAGAGGCACCGGTGCGTAGTGAAATTTTAAGCCAGGATAGTAACGTGAAGAGAGGCAGAGAAAGATCGAAGTTGACTTGGGTAGAGGCAATAAAATAAGACTTAAAAGGATGAAATATACCTAAAGACTTAGCCTTAGATAGGAGTGCTTAGAAAACAGCTATTCACGTGCCTGAATCTTGATTGCTTCTGTTGGGTTTCAACTCTAGCCTACCCTAATTTGTTTGGGACTTAAAGGCTTTGTTGTTGTTGTTTTATTACTTTTTTTAACTATTTAAGATGTGCAAATGTTATGACCTTGCTTCTTTCTTTAGGTGCAAGGAAGAGATTGACTTTATGTTAAATTTGTAGCGGATCAGTTAGGTACTTAGGTTTGGATGGTTCTTATATACCACGCACATATATTGAACAAATTCAGCTGGAGAAATTGATTAATGATGTTATGGTATGTATATTTTATTGTTGCTTACACTGTATATTCACATTTCTTTTAGTTGTTTCGCTTAGTTCATTGGTTGGATCTGACTGCTATGTAGGCGTTACCAGAAGATTTGAAGACAAAGCTCATCATCGATGATGAGCTGGTCTCAAGTCCAAAGGAAGCCTTTTCTCGTGTTTCTGTTGATCGGAGGAACAAGCTTATGAAGAGGTTTCATAATAACATCCTTGTTTCAAGTTTGAACTTTTGAAACTTTGGAACCTAAATGAAGTTAGTTGACTTTCTTATCATGTTGTCCAGTGGCCTATCTCAATCATATTCAACGCATGGAGACAAAAATATTGTGAAATTGAGTAAACTAACAGAAACCAACACGAGGTTTGGTGCAGGGTGAGCCCTTGAACCGCCTGCTATCAACCAGGTGACTTTTGTGAAGAATTATCATTAGCAAGGCAGTTGAAGTCCTCAATGAAAACATATGTTATCGCTGACTTGCAAATGTTCTTGTTTCCATTTTTATTTCGTAGGGTGCAATCACCCAGCTTTCAGAATAGATATCAACATTGAATGAAAGGATGGATGAGTTTACCTCTCGAGTTGAAGAACTCAATTCAAAATTTACGGTGAAGAAACATTTGCCCAGTCAGCAGAACTTAGCTCTTCTAAATGATGCTTGTAATGGTTCCACGCCTACAAATCTCTCTCTCTCAGTTGGGCAATGGTACTCTGATACCTCATTCTTCATCGTCAAACCAACTTGCAAAGGATTCTCCGATGATAGAAGAGGTCTCCCTCCCTCTCTCTCTACCTCTTTTGTAGCTTGTTGGAATCAGATGTAGGAAGTATTGTCAACATTGTTCAAACATTAGTTTATCAAACATTTTTAAAATTCAGCGTGATTTTTTAGACCTCAAACAGATTCTAACAGTGTGATAAAAATAGCAAAGGATCATGGTTGTCATTAGTGTCCTCAAATTAAGTGGACAAGTGGGTCACAAATTCAATCTTGTTCTTGTAAGTGCATCTAGCCCTTTAGTGGTTTTGGTAAATTGATTGATAATATAATTAAAGGTCTAATAAGTTTGCTAAGTGTTGAACAGAAAATTGAGTCTATTGCATATACTTGTGGGTTGTGTATTAACAAGTATATACAAGGTTCAACTAGCAGGCAAACTTGATATGCCACATTATGTTAAAGTGAATGCCAAACTGTGTATTGTTGTATTGGAAGTTTTGGAAGCAATCTAGTTCAAGCAAAAGACAACAATGCAAATGGAATCAATGAAATGGCTTCTATGTTGTGGGATATCATAGCATCATGTGAAAGGAAACATACTTGGTAAATGACAATGTATAGTGGATATAAGTCGGTCTCTGCATTGGTTTGCTTACATGGATGAATATATAAAAGATCAATTGGAGTGTCAAGCCAAAATAAGAAGGGAATAAGGAATCGTGAATTAGCTTGACCATATTGATGTTGATCCATGTATGTCTCTATGTGAGACAAACTGAAGCTTGATTGATCTCAACATTCATATCTAGAAAATATTGAAGCAAGGATTAAAATATTGAAGAAATATTTTTCAATGGATGCTTAATATAATGTGACTTAAGTATGGCTTGATAGGGTGAAGATAGCAAGGAAATGACTTTGAGGTACTAAGTGAAGGTGAAGGGCAAGCGATGGCTTGACGACCGAGGTACCATGGCTAAGGTGAAGAAGAGAGTACTTGCATTGAGTTGAGGTACTAATCAAGCTATGATTAGTCATATTGTGTTGAGGATCAAATTATTAGTGGACGTGACTTGAAGCCATGAAGGTGAACTCATATGTATGGAAATGGTTCAATTCACATAATCAAGGTATAATGAGAATGAGAAAAACATATTCGATAATAGAAGTCCTCAATTGTCAAATGAAGTGGCAACCAGCTCAAAGGTATTTACATTCTTTTATGCTTTTAATTTGAGTTTAGGAAAAGCCGTACTATAAAGAGGAATTCTAGGATAGTTGGTCAACTGTTGAATCAGATGCTCAAATTCTCATATTTACATCCTTCCACTTAGTCAAAACAGCCAGCCAAATTTTACATCAATTTACCTGTTTTGGCTAGGGTGGCAGTGCCGCCCTGTTAAGAGCGGCAGTGCCGCTCTTAACTGACCGTTGGGCTCGGGGGGTATTTATACCCTTCAGGTCTGGCCCACAACAATCATCTTCTCCACTGAATCATTCTGCTCGAAACCAGACAGAACCAAAGCTCACCTCTCTCCTCCATTGTTGCTCCTCCATCCCTCAAGCTAATCCTTGATTCCAACCATCAAAACTTGAGAGAAAAAACAACAAAACTCGATTGGAGAGAAGATCTGCTGATTCCCAAAGTCTAAGAGCATTTGGTTCATATTTGACCGACGGTTCTAGGGTTTGTTACTCTTGGAGCTTGCTCCTAGCCGGCTAGACGTCGCCCTTGTGCTTGTCAACTCGTGTGGCAGCCTTGGAAGATTTATAAACTCATCCTGCAGCTAAGAAATTACCCCTCACTTCAAGAGTTCATTCTCTTGATTTGAGAACGAGGGCAAGGCAAGCCTTGGTGGCGAGCCAATCCTTTTGTGGATGCCTCAACAACTTGGACTTAGACAAGCCTTGGTGGTGAGCTAAACCACGGGATAAATTTTGTGTCTCGCGTGCTTCACTTTGTGTTCTTGCTGGTTCAGATCTTTGCTAGCTGTTGTTAAGGTTTGGTAGCTCGATCCTCTCTTGTGTGAGATTTTTGTGGTATCCAGTCTTCGAACTGGATTTTGTCTTTCTTTTGTAGAATTGAGCAGTTGAGAGGGTCAGGTTACTATCTATGAAATCTCAACACTATCTGCTTTATTTTTGAAGAGCGACAGCGCCGCTCTATAAGGCCGGTAGTGTCGTCCTCTGTTCTAACAGAGTTTTGAGTTGAATTTTTACAGGCTTATTCACCCCCCCTCTAGGCCTCTTAGGCGACATCAAGGTCTTTTCAATTGGTATCAGAGCCTGGATCTCAATTTCGGGCTTAACCGCCTTGAGAGAACGATGTCGATAAGTGAGGAGGTATCTCTAAAACTTTTACTTTTAGATTGCTCAAATTGTACATCTTGGTCTGCTAGTGTGCTTGATGTTTTTAGGACCATGGGTCCTCAAATAGAGCAGATTATAGATGTGAGCATTTCACCTCCTCATAATGATTTGATCTACTTATCTAGAGAGAAAGTGAAATGCTTACAACTCAATGCTCAAGCTGCTAATGTCTTATTTAGTGCTTTGAGTGAAGATGTACTTGATGCTATCATATTTGGAGATGGTAAACCATTTGGTGATGCTCATATCATTTGGACCACACTCAAGGAAATGTATGGCAACTCCAAATGTGAAGGGACCAACCTCTCATTGGAAAAAAACCACTTGAGGAATGCTCAACTTCATCGACAAATGATGAGCCTCAAGTGATTCTCTCAAAAGGCCTATTTGATCATGCCATATCCACTTCCTCGTCAACATATGACTTATTGGATGGTAATGAAATAGTTGGTGAGAACAATATTTTTATATGTGGTTCTTCTACTTTCTTTATTTCTTGTGAGACTAACATTTTGAAGGAAGAAGAAGCTTGTGATCGGTGGAAGCCAAATGATGAATCCACCTTACCAAGAAGCTCAACTCTCTATACCATTTCACATATCGGTCTCATGGCAAAGAAAGAGAAGAAAGTGGCAAGTGAGAGTGAGAGTGAGAGTGAGAGTGGTAGTGATGATGATGAGATCAATCAACACCTTGCACATCTAAGCAAGAAAGACAAGTTGATAGTGATCAAGTTCATACAGAAGATTCAAGAGCAAGAAAAATCTCTACAAGCAAGAAGAGCTTCTCGTTGAAAAGATCAAATGCTTGGAGAAGTTGACCAAAAGGCATGAAAAGCTTAAGTGCTCTCATGCTAGCTTGGTCCAAAGGTATAAAAACTTGTCAATTGAGCAAACTCATACTATTAACTCTCTATCTTGTGTTGCTCAATTAGAAGATCAAAATTATATGCTCAAAGGCAAGTTGGAAAGGCTTACTAGCAAAAATGAGACTTTGCAAGAAAGTCATGATGGGCTTTTGTGCTCTCATGAGAAGCTTATGGAGTCTCATCTCATGCTAGAAGTTGCTCATGAGGTTGTGGTAACAACGGTAAAATCATACCAACCTCACACTCACAAATGCACATATACACAAGTTTCATCTATTTTATCATGTGCTAACAAGTGTTGCTCTCAAGCAAGCCAACCTTTCGTTGAGCATGTAATTGTAGAAACTTGTGATGATTCCATTGCAAAAGAAAATGAACAGCTCAAGGAAGAAGTTGAAATGCTAAAAAGGGACTTGATTCAATGGAAGGGCAAGTGCAATGCTCAACCTTCTCAAGATAACCATTAAGATATGGTGAAGAAACTTGAGAAGGGATCAATCGATGCATGCATCAAGCCTTATCAAAAGGGTTACAAGTCCAACAATGGCAAAGTGAAGGGGATACTTAAAGAAGTGCAATCTGTCCAGAATGCAGCAGTTCAGCCAGCTGCACAGACTACGGCAGTGCCACACCCCAAGGGCGGCAGTGCCACACCTAGACAGAACAGGAAAGTTCCCAAGGCCATCAAGGTGCAACGTCAATCAAAGAAGACTCTCATCACTTTCTTCAAGTGCAAGAAAGACGGTCACCATGTCAGAGATTGCCCCTTGAAGAAAGAAGAGAAGGGCGTGAGCAAGATCCAAGAGAAGAAGAAGATGGCTCATGTCAAGTTCTCCAACATAGGACACAATGCTTCTATGTGTTCCAACAAGGTCGATGATCAAGCCATACTTCCAAAGAACAAGACAAGAAGAAGCAAGAGGAAGTGTTATGGTTGTCATGAGAAGGGACATGAAATTGGCTCATGTCCTAACAGAAAAAGTGAAGGCTTGTCATTATCAACAAAGAGGTTCATTAGCAAGGTAGCAAGCAAAGTGCAAGAAGAGAATGCTAGAAAGAACAAGAACCGCATATGCTACACTTGCAAAGGAAAGGGACATTTAAGTAAGGATTGTCCCATGGGTAACACTTCTAAACTCAACTTGTCAATTGATTTAAATATGCTTAGAAGGCCCAAAAATAACACTTGTGCTAGAAAGGTGATTGGTTCACCATGTGTTAGCACACAGGGCATTTGGGTGCCTAAGTCTCTTGTGACTAACCATAATGGACCCAACATAGTTTGGGTACTAAATTGTGCTTAGTAAGTGTTGTAGGTACTTGAAGGTGATATGAAGCTTCAGGGTGCTTGAGCGAGTTGATTGAAAATATTCACTCAAGCTATCAATCAATTCACATTGCATATTCTTATATGGTTGACCCGAAGATGAATCAATGGAAATAATTCAAACTTCATCTTCACCTCGGTAACTAGTACCTAACCCTTGCTAGCTAGCCACTTGACATGTGTAGTCTCTAATAGTTCACAAATATATGTGTGTTTGTGAATTATTAAGAGTGGCTAGAGTACTTCCAGTCTAAATGAATCATTTG